CCACCCCGCTCACAGCAGCTACTGCAACCATAGCCATTACATAACACCCCTCTCCCCTAACCCATAACAGTACACTATTGCTCTCAGCTCATACTTCAACCTGGCATTTACAAACGACTCTTCCACCACCCCGACCCTAAGTCAACCACACTCATCCTCCACACCCTTACCTAACCAATATACCTACTATTTTATACCTACCATAATACAGCCACCCCCGGCAAAACCCTTACTGCCTTCAGTGCTCTTAAATGCACGCACGCACGCACCCATCCATCCACGCACCCACGCACACCCACGCACACACCCACACAACACACACACCACGTACTAACCCATTTCTCTTTCTTTACTTGGCCCCGTATTCCTATCAGTACAGCTTAACTGTACCAACGACAACTTAAGCCCAAAATATGCTATAAAACCACTCTATATCCCCACCCAGCCCTTAAAATGACATATAGTCATGTTTGCAAAGTTGTAAACAAATCAGTTACCTGGGGTTGGGTCGTGTCAAAATCAAACCAGGTAGGAAACACAAACTGGATAGCTTTCATAAGGGTGTCATATGCCGTGCAGTTTATGAACTGTATGGACGCAATCAAAAGATGACATCAAAGATACAATAAATGTCTCGAAAACAACACTTATTGTAGCTGTGGTAGAAATGGGGTTCAGGTACAACAAAAAGGGGAGATGACAGAGCTGTGTTTAGAGAAAAGTACTCAATCCTGTCCATGCGATAAGCTTATCTCAGAACAGTTGAAGAACTGCCGCAATTTGGGGTTTCAAATTATATTCCTTGATGAAACCTGGTGTAATAAAAATCACTCAACCGATCGGATGTGGCTTCCTACAGATTGTTCTCAGGCACCAGTGCTACCATCAGGCAAAGGTAGACGCCTGATCATCTTACATGCTGGTACTCGTAGCAATGGACTGATTGGGGGTTGTGACTTTGTTCTGATGGTGATTTTCATAGCAAAATGAAGGCAGGCATTTTTGGATTGGTTCGAACATCAGCTTTTACTGCAGCTGGACGAACCAAGCGTTATCATTTTGGATAACGCCAGTTACCATAACCTGCGTGTCCCTGGTACCATCTCAAGGCTCAGTTGCAGTGAGGATTTTCTCACTTCCTGTAACGTACCTTACAGGCAATCAGAAACAAAGCCCCAGCTCATGGAAAAAAAGTCTGGCAGCACAAAAAGCCAATCCAGTACATCACTGACGAACTAGCTGCAAAACATGGCTATATAGTGCTGCGTACGCCAGTACAGCACTGTGAGCTCAATCCCATCGAGCTGATCTGGGGTAACCGTAAGAATTTTATTGCTCGCAATACTACCACATTCAAGCTTTCAGACGTTGTGGCAAAAGGCAGAAGACCGTGTTCTCAAAATCAAGGATGAATACCGGGACGGCGTTAACATCAGCCGATTTGCACCTGTTGTAATTCCGCTAGAGTCCTCGACCAGCAGTGATACTGACACTTGATATTTTGAGACGGTCCCTGACATGTACTGCTGGTGCGTTTGTTTCTTAGAAGTGTTTCTACCATGGAATTTTTTCTAAGTTTTTCGATATTTCTGGCATTACTTTAGTACACCATCTTGAGTACAGTGTGTCTTCAGAACAGCATGTCTTGAGTACAGTGTGTCTTGAGTACAGTGTATCTTGAGGGTGTTTCTTGTAGCTTCAGATTAGAGGTGTATGTCTGGAAATATTCAAGTGGGGAAATCTACTGTTTTGTGGTAAGACACATCAGGGCACTGGTAGACTTAGGTCACAAGTCTGGAAATGGTCAAAATACACTTGAGCAAGGATTCATCTTAACAAGGGTAGATATACATTGTAGGATGTCTTCCCAGTGATTTGTGTAGCTTCAGGTTAAAAATATTCTGTGGAAATGGTTGAGACCATGTACAGTTATGACATACAAGGACTACAAAGATTGTTTAACTACGGGACTACTACTACTACTCTCTCTCTCTCTCTCTCTCTCCCTCTCTCTCTCTCTACTCTCTCTCTCAAGGATCTCATCTTAACAAGGGTAGATATAGAAGACCAGGATGTTTTCAGAGTGATTGATTTTAGCTTCAGGTTAAAATATTCTCTGGAAATTGTTCCCCCCCTCTCTCTACAGTTATGAGATACAAGACTCGAATACATTAAAGATTGATTTTAATTACAGGATGTATTAAAGGTGGTTTGTTAAACTTCTGGTTAAAGGTATTTCTCCTGAACAGATCAGATCAGATCAGATCTTCAATTAGGCGGTGTTCAGTGACCAGATTCATGGTACCAGGTTTAAATTGCTGGGTGTATTAAAGGTGGTTTGGTGAAGTTAGGGTTTGGCCAAATGATCAAATGGACACAGAGGGGTGACCAGATGGGCAGATGTAGATTACAGGATGCCTCTGTGTTCGTTTTTGCAGCTTTGGTTTAAAGGCATTATTGGGAAATGGTCAGAAAGGCAGTGTGTTACCCGATAAATACAAGCTTTCTCTGCAAATGGTCAAAATATACAGAGTGTTGTGACTAGACACATCATAACATGGGTAGATTTAGGTTTGTGGTGTCTGGAGGGTGATTTGTACAGCTTCAGGTAATAGGTGTTCTCTGGAATTGAACAAGAGTTCATTTAGACTATGAACAATTATGAGATACAACATAGCGTGGGAAGATGATTTTGACAAATTTCAGGATGCCATTAGGATGTTTGTTGAGCTTGTGGTAGAAGGCATTTATCCAGATTAGGACGTATGTTCAATTAGATTGGGTTGAACAAATGGTTATTCCGGCTGTAGAGTGACCAGATTCTTCTAAAAGTGGGCTGCCTTTGGGTGTTTTTTATCTGCTTCAGTTGGTTACCTGGACATGGTCAAGTGTTAAAAACTACAAGGTACATACTAGCATGGGTGGATTTTGATTGCATAGTGTCTTGAAGGTAATCTGAAAACCCACCCATCTATGCCCTTTATCACCCACTCCCTCCCTCCCTCCCTCTAAGTTCCCACTCCTTCACCCACTCCTTCCGTCCTTCTAAGTTCCCCCTCCTTCACCCACTCCCTTCCTCTAAGTTACCCACTCTCCCCCTCTAAGTTCCCCTCCTTCACCCACTCCCTCCATCCCTCTAAGTTCCCCCTCCTTCACCCCTCCCTCCATCTAAGTTGCCCCTCGGTCACCCACCCACCCACTCACTCCTCCCTCCCTCCCTCCCTCCCTCCCTCTAAGTTCCCCTGCTCCCTCGACCTAAGTTGCCTCCCCTCCTAAAGTCCCCCTCCTTCACACCTCCCTCCTCTCCCCACTCCCATCTCTCCCTCACCCACTAACTGTGTCTGTCTACAGAAGCACACACAGAGACACAGACAACTATGATCTGGTCACAGCCATCACCTGCTAGGACCAAATGTAGATTACCTCACAACTGTCCATATCTATATTTCTGTGGTGGTGTCCTTGTAGCATGCAGCAATGTAGACAATCACTTTGGGGTGGAATTTGACAGCTTACAAATGGACTAGTTACTATTTACTATGACACATTTTCCATTAAAAAGTGATTTGTGTAGATGCCATCTCTCTCTCTCTCTTCTCTCTCTCTCTCTCTCTCTCTCTCTCCTCTTACTCTTCTCTTCCTCCCCACCCACCCCAAACCACACACACACACACACACACACACACACACACACACACACACACACACACACACACACACACACACACACACACTTAGGTGGTATTAATACTGTACATGCATATGTAACTGTTTAGCTCTGTTGATATCTGGACGATGTTTCACAGCTCAAAGGTCTTTCAAGAATTGGTCAAGACCTCACAAAGTCTATTGTGTCCAAATACATGCTAGTATTTGTAGATTTTGTTGACAGATATTATAATGGGTGAAAGGCTTTACAACTTTTAAAACCTAAATGCCACTTTTAAAGATATTTACATGTATGTGAATTACAAGATGACTACTGCTAGTGTGATATAATTGATGAGTGGACAAGGGAGATAATTGGAAAAGTTTGGTGGAAGAGTGAACTCCCTTTGGTCTCCCAGTGTCAGCTGATATTGTGAATCAGGTGTGAGCTTACTTCTACATGTACAAGACAATTAACATGAGACTTTTTTAGGGATTCTATGACAAGAATATGTTTGTAACCATGTTTAAAAAAATCCCCATGAAATATAATTGTGTAATAATTTATATGATCATAATCAAGTTCAAGCAGTCTTCCTACAAAGACACCATTAGACCCAGAGATATTCTACCTTGGTTGGACAAGTAGCACTACAATGCCACTCAGATTCAGTCAGGGTGCTTAATTTTTGTTAAAATCTTTTCAATTATTTTAAATGACTACAGCCTCTTCACAAGCATCCACACTGGTCTGTACATGTATGAGTTGTAAGGACAGATTCAAGCAGTGTCTCTTCAGCATGTCCCATGCCACAACAATGTTCTAGCAATGTTCTGAGGATGTCCCAGGTACTTTTGTCATCCTTGAGTATTAAAATGCAAACAGCATATAAGGGTTGAGGTGCTAAATGGTTTGGATGACATTCAGGGAGCTGTTTGTTTGCCCTGCTTCTCCATGGAGCTCTGTTATCTGCTATTCAATATTGTTTACCTTCCTCAGTGTAGAGTCCTACTGGACAGCCTCACCACCATTGTAGAGAACACACTATATACATGTGAGGCAACACATGCCTGCATGTATGTGTGAGTGCCATGGGTGCTTTAACAAAACTGTCTCCAGGGATTGAATAAAAACCTGTCTCCAAGCTATAAACTGAATAAATACTGAGAACATGCTAGAAGCTCCTGCCTGTACAACACAGTTGTAAGGCAGTGTAAGTGTGTATAGTGTTGATCAGTCAATACAGACTGGCCAATGAAAAGTGATTCCATTATGATTTTTTTGTATTTACGTAAAGGGTGTTGAAGAAGAGTTACTAGTTTGTTCAGATGTTTACATATTCTTGTTTCAGTCCTTGACGGATTTCCAGTTCCCTGTTCTACCTGCTGAAATAGTTCCATGGCTGAGAAGTTGCCCTGCCACGCCCTGCCACGCCCTGCGCCACGCCACACCACGCCACGCTGGTGTGCAGATGCTAGTTTGGTCAATAACCCAGTCCCCCACTAGGCACACATTTATAACTCGCTTAGTTTCTTTGGAGATAGGAGCTGGTAAATCTTCAGTAGCCTGTTGTGAGTACCCTTAAACAGGGAACTTAGGTAATATCAGTTTCTTAGGATTAGGGAGCCATGTTGAGGGTGGGACCCCCCTTTCAGGTACTTAGGATTAGGGAGCCATGTTGAGGGGGTTTTACATGACACGTGATTCCTGCCTATTTGACACAACAATTTTCCAAAAGTCTTTCAAAATATTGTATCTGAGTCAAGCTTGGACGCAGTTCTTATGTGTGACCCTTAGAATGCAGTTCAATAAAATCAACTCGATAAACAAACAATGATAGATTTCAGTGATAGTTTGACAGAGCTGTCAGATTGTTCCAGAGAACTCAGAGGAGACATTTATCCTGGCTGTTTGACATTTGGTGGTGTGTCATACACAGTTACATGCTGAGAATGATTAACTCAAATACCATGCCAATGAAGTGATCTGGTCACAAAGTTCAGTAAATAATCTTACGTTTTTGACATGCTATAGGTCTTCATGAAATAATTTCTTTTCAATTTGCGTTACAATGAATAAATCACATTATTTGTTCAGGATACTGGCGTTTGTTATGATTGAATTTAACAGTGGAAATATTACTATTTATTTACTAATCATCTAAATGACAATACAACACAAAACAATAAAATCTTTGCAAAACTTTTGCTTTTGGATTTACACAAAGAAATATTGAATTTTCATCACTTCCAAATATTGAAAATAAGACACACACACACACACACACACACACACACACACACACACACACACACACACACACACACACACACAGAGAGAGAGACAGACACACAGACAGACACACAGACAGACAGACAGACACACACACACACCTCTACCTACCTACCTACCTACCTACCTACCTACCTTTCGGGGTCTTAGGGTTAGGATGCCATGTTAAAGTTGGGACACCCCTTTCAGAGGGTTAGGGAGCCATGTTGAGGGTTGGGCACCCCTTTCAGAGTCTTAGGTTTAGAGAATGATGACAAGGGTGAGGCACCCCTTTCAGAATCTTAGGGTTAGGGAGCCATTTTGAGGGTGGGACACCCCTTTTAGTGTCTTAGCGTTAGGGAATGATGTCAAGGATGAGGCACCCCTTTCAGAGACTTATTGTTAGGGAGCCATGTTGAGGGTGGGGCACACCCTTATGAGTCTAAGGGTTTGGAAGCCATTTGGAGGGTGGGGCACCCCTTTTAGTGTTTCAGGGTTAGGGAGTGCCTTTGATGGTGGGGCACCCCTTTCAGAGTCATAGGGTTAGGGAGCAATTTTGAGCGTGGGACACCCCTTTCAGAGTCTTAGGGTAGGGAGCTATGTTGAGGGTGGTGCACCCCTTTCAGAGTCTTAGGGAGAGGGAGCCATGTTAAGGGTGTGGCACCCCTTTCAGAGTCTTAGGGTGAGGGAGCCATGTTAAGTGTTGTGGCACCCCTTTCAGAGTCTTAGGGTGAGGGAGCCATGTTAAGTGTTGTGGCACCCCTTTCAGAGTCTTAGGGTTAGGGAGCCATGTTGAGGGTGTGGCACCCCTTTCAGAGTCTTAGGGTGAGGGAGCCATGTTAAGGGTGTGGCACCCCTTTCAGAGTCTTAGGGTGAGGGAGCCATGTTGAGGGTGTGGCACCCCTTTCAGAGTCTTAGGGTAGGGAGCCATGTTAAGGGTGTGGCCCTTTCAGAGTCTTAGGGTGAGGGAGCCATGTTGAGGGGTGGGCACCCCTTTCAGAGTCTTAGGGTGAGGGAGCCATGTTGGGTGTGGCACCCCTTCAGAGTCTTAGGGTGAGGGGAGCCATGTTGAGGGTGGGCACCCCTTTCAGAGTCTTAGGGTGAGGGAGCCATGTTGAGGGTGTGGCACCCTTTCAGAGTCTTAGAGGTGAGGGAGCCATGTTAAGTGTTGTGGCACCCCTTTCAGAGTCTTAGGGTTAGGGAGCCATGTTGAGGGTGTGGCACCCCTTTCAGAGTCTTAGGGTGAGGGAGCCATGTTTGAGGGTGTGGCACCCCTTTCAGAGTCTTAGGGTGAGGGAGCCATGTTAAGTGTTGTGGCACCCCTTTCAGAGTCTTAGGGTTGGGGAGCCATGTTGAGGGTGTGGCACCCCTTTCAGAGTCTTAGGGTTAGGGAGCCATGTTAAGGGTGTGGCACCCCTTTCAGAGTCTTAGGGTGAGGGAGCCATGTTGAGGGTGGGCACCCCTTTCAGAGTCTTAGGGTGAGGGAGCCATGTTGAGGGTGTGGCACCCCTTTCAGAGTCTTAGGGAGAGGGAGCCATGTTGAGGGTGTGGCACCCCTTTCAGAGTCTTAGGGTTAGGGAGCCATGTTGAGGGTGTGGCACCCCTTTCAGAGTCTTAGGGAGAGGGAGCCATGTTGAGGGTGTGGCACCCCTTTCAGAGTCTTAGGGTTAGGGAGCCATGTTGAGGGTGTGGCACCCCTTTCAGAGTCTTAGGGTGAGGGAGCCATGTTGAGGGTGTGGCACCCCTTTCAGAGTCTTTAGGTGAGGGAGCCATTACTGAAATATTGCCAGTGACACACTCTAGTAGGTGAAAAGTGTTGACAACTTAATTTGATGCCCTTCATATTCTCATGACCATTTTCATCAGCAGATAATGAAGTCTGAAACTAGCGTAATGATTTGCCAAGGGCAGAACCGGCATTAAAGTATTCAGTACTAGTTGGAATCAATTACCGACATGACATCATAATGTAGCATTAGACTAGCTGCGGAAATAACAGGCAGGCAGCTATTTCATCAGTCACTTTGCTGATGGATACCAGATATGGGGATGTAAGGATAAGGAAATTCAAAAGTAGTTTCATTTGCCTAATGAGGCAGGGACTGTAATTTACCAGACTCACTCACTCATCCAAGTAATTTTATTTTCTAAAAACTCAGAACATGAAACCCTCTTCTTGTAAATAAACAAATACACTGTACTTCTGATTTTTTACAGGTGCAGTTTTACAACACTTCGAACACTGTAGGTGTCATTTCTAACCCTTTGCTTCTCTGAACCAGTGTTTGTTTCACATAACATTACCCACATCTCAGATTACTTTTTACAAACTGCTGCAAGGATGGGTGATGATCAAACTGATTCATTCAAGTTCAACAAAACTTCTTATTTGTTTAAACTACAAAAAATGGCCTAGTGGTTAAAGCATTCGCTTGCCATGCCAAAGACCCGGGTTCAATTCCCCACATGGGTACAATGTGTGAAGCTCATTTCTGGTGATATTGCTGGAATATTGCTAAAAGGGGTGTCAAACCATACTCACTCACTCATTCACTCACCTACTCACAAGAAATATGATTGTCACATTATTTCAAAGTATGAAACGCTGTGAAAATCAGATGACACCAGGTTTTCATGGACATTGTATAGCATTTTATCTTCTGGTAGCACCTACTGTTCACACAATGTGTGTTCAGCCCATGCCACATAGCAGGACTCAGGCCATTGTGATGACGGTCAGTGAACAAACCACACAATCAAGTGATCAATGAACAAACCACACAATCAAGTGATTAAAAACAACAGCACCAGCATTAATAGATGGTTACTTAAGATTATCTGGTTTTCTTTCATTCTAACGCGTCCCCATTGAGTGCACTCTTTGTGGTTGCATATGTTATTCTTAATCTATGTCTGAAAACATCCGAAAGCGCACCAAAACACCTGCCTGCACGCGCCTCAACCTCTGTGATATTGAAAAATGTTGACTCTATGTTGTGGCAAGAATGATGATAGTGTACACGAATAGTTGAGTGCCTAAAGCAACATTTCTTCAGTTGTGTCCAGCATAGTTCTCCTCAGACTCCTCATACCTTTGTAACCATGGTAACGTTTGGATCCAGGCAAGTATACAGCCAGACTACAAATACTCGTCAAACTTAATCCGTAGTTGTCTCTGGGCACAATGAAAACTACAGATATTAATTTTATTTGTTTACAATATTTTGTTAAACTTCATGTACAAATGAATTGTTATTTATTATATTAACCTAAGGTAAAGCAAGACATTCTTTTTTAGAAAGGATATACCACTTCATCAAATAGGAAAATGTTACTTAAAAGCAAAAGAAATAATAAATATTTAGGTGCAATAGTTACTCTTAAATACCTTGTACTAGAACACAAACATATTTAGCTGCACCAGCAAAGGTGTCCTGTCCATTAATTGGTATCAGAAAAATGTATAGGTGACATTTAATGCCAGGAATTCTTCAGTGTATTTGACACTGTGACAACTCGCATTTTATGTTATAATTATATTATTGGGTGCAACTAATGTGCGAAATAGCCACTGGCCCGCAAGCCTGTTGCTAGTAAAAATCCAGTCGGGCAAGTAAATCTCCAGTCACTGAATTAATATTAGTTTTAAATAATGCATGAGTATTACATTATAAAATTGGTGACAGGCCGGGAAAGCCACATTTCAAAAATCACTATTGCCGGGAAGGCCACATTTCAATTACATGGCTGTAGCCGGTAAGCCACATTTCCAATAGATTAATTCATTAATGTATTACCGTAAGGTATAATAATGTTTTCACAAGAAACGAATAATCTTTCCAACTCACAAGTGCGGTGTTTAGCTTCTTCACTCAGAGTTTATTACTCAAAATGGAACAACCTCCGGTGGTACATGAGTACATAATGCAGAATATACAAAGCATGCAAAAGAGTGACAGGGAATACATGTACATGTATACGCAATTATTACTGAAAGCTAGAACATATGCATTAAACAAATATATAAATTAAGATAGGTGTTTGATTGTTGAAATTTTAGTACTTGACCTCAATTTGTTTTTATGTAGAGAGATTAGGGAAGGAACGAGAGCTGTTTTCTAGGTGAGTGATGCGTTGTTGGCTAAAATATGAACATCGAAGATAGAATGGAATTCATCCCCATTTGACTGCGAGTTACAAAGGTTACATACTCTTTCTTTTCATGCGAGATTCGTCCATCTCACTTTCTATTGGCAATCAATGGTTAAATGTATTAGAATATATAATAGGTTTCCAAATATTTTCAGATAGCAGTAAGTATTCGTCGAGTGAAGGTGAGGTTTTATAAATCTCATAATATTGTCCTTCACATTTTGATATGCTCCAGGATTGGGTATAATGAAAAGGGTTTACAAATACATCCGGTAAGCCACATTTACAAAATTTATGTTTCACATGATTTAGTCAGGGATCATCATCAATAATATAATTTTGAATGAAAGCTCCTATTTTGTTGTTTGGATGGGAAAATTTCAACTTGCACCAATAAGTAATTAAACTTTTAGAGAATTGGAGCTGAATAGGTTGTCTTCCAAGTTCTCTATAAACCATCAAGTTCGGGGTGTTATATCTAAGACCGGTAGCTAATTTAAGGCATTTAAGATGAACACGTTCAATTGTGTGATATTATTATATGTAATATACCTATAAATGTATCATCTTGTGCTAATTATAGAAACAAAACCTGTTGTGATCTGAATAAAATTATGAGGAAACGTGTCTTGTTTTGTTAACTACGGTAACGCGTTTGAATCACTAAGCATGTTTT